GTTTGGGGCTAATGTGGAAAAGTTGTGAACATGGAAGAGATCTGACAGAAATCCTAACGGAAAGGAGGTAAATGGGGTGAAAATTAGTAGGTTGGTTGGGAAGAGGGAAAGTAAGAAAGTGTGAATGACTAGCAAGGCCATGGAAGGTACAAGCTGACATTCCAACCAGACTAGCCCTCTGCCCTCGTCCAGGCCGCCGTGTCCCAGCCAAGAAGCGTAAGGGGCCTGTGGCCCCCCAACCAAGCCTGCGTACCTTTGGGGTCTTAACCAGCCTGGAGGAAGGGGTACCTTTTTCTAATTTGCCTGCCCAGAGAGGCACCATTTGAAATCTGTCTGCTTGGAGTGGGCTCCTTTTTGTGCCCAAAGACCCAGTTTGTGGTAGCTCAGTACGAGAATGTAAATATTCATGCCCTGACTGTGGCAGCTGGTTTCCTCTGTCTCGCATTTCTCTTTTTGATTCTGTACTCAGTGATTTCACTTACACTTCCTTGAATATCATTTTTTGCTATTTTGGTCAAGAATCAATAATGGCTGTCATTGCTCTTACATGAGACCCAGAATCACACCAAGTTATCACCTAATTGATACGAACGATATTAACCCCCAACTCAAAATCTCTGTACCAACCTAGTCACTTGATTGCAGTCACGCACACACAACTTCCTCGTCCCTCCTCCCTCGTTCCTGTGCATATTTTGTGTTACTTCTTACATCCTGTTCTGTCTCTGTTCTCTGCTCTGATCATCAGTTGAAACTTGGTGGTTCGGCTGAGTGGCCTCATTGGCAGAGGAAGATTGGACAAACACACGAGTAACAACACTGTTCGGCAGTGGCGAACAGAAGTTTGCTCAAAACTCGTCTCCTCCAGAAACTTTCTGCGAGAGCTCATGTCATTTCTTTGATCCTCATTCTTTTTATGACCAATAAGCTCAGCTGAAACAATAGTAGGCTGAACGTCACTTGGTTAATATTAAACAGCTTCACAAATTCTTTTGGTGGAAACTAAAATGCTTTTCTTGTGACTAATGACAATCTAGAAGACATAAAGGGCCCAAAATAATCTTGGTCACCATCAGTAAACACACATTTCCCCCTGTTCCTTGCCCCATGCTCTAGACAAGTTTCAAATTCAGAAAAGCCAGTCTGGAGATATTTCAAACTACTTCCCAGGTCCTGAGTGCAAAGGACAGGACACAAACATTTATTTCCACTTAGCAAAGAATAGTCAATAGGAAATTTGGGTTCAGCCCATGCTTCTGCCATGTTCTCCCTCTGTTCAAAATATATCAAGAACTGGATGGGACATCAGCATGACTCAGTCGGTTAAGCATCTGACTCTTGATTTCAGCCCAGGTCATGATCTCATGGTTTGTGAGGTTGAGCCCCGTGTCAGGCTCTGTGCAGCTGCTGCAGAGCCTGCTTGGGACTCTCTCCCTTTCTCTCTCTCTCTCTCTCTCCTCTCTCTCTCTCTCAAAAAATAAATAAATGGGCATTTAGAAAAAGAACTGTGGGAATGCAAGCTGGGGCAGCCACTCTGGAAAACAGTATGGAGGTTCCCCCCAAAATTAAAAATAGAACTACCCTAGGACCCAGCAATTGCACTCCCAGGTATTTATCCAAGGGATACAGGTGTGCTGTTTCAAAGGGGCACATGCACCCCCATGTTTATAGCAGCACTATTGACAATAGCAGAAGTATGGAAAGAGCCCAAATGTCCATTGATGGACGAATGGATAAAGAAGATGTGGTATGTATACACAACGGAGTATTACTTGTCAATCGAAAAGAAGGAAATTTTGCCACTGGCAACTACATGGATGGAACTGGAGGGTATTATGCTAAGTGAAATTAGTCAGTCAGAGAAAGACAAAAATCATATGACTTCACTCAGATGAGGACTTTAAGAGACAAAACAGATGAACATAAGGGAAGGGAAACAAAAATAATATAAAAACGGAGGGGGACAAAACAGAAGAGACTCATAAATATGAAGAACAAACAGGGTTACTAGAGGGGGTGTGGGAGGGGGGATGGGCTAAATAGGGAAGGGGCATTAAGGAATCTACTCCTGAAATCATTGGTGCACTATATGCTAACTAACTTGGATGTAAATTTTTAAAAATAAAAAATAAAACAAGTTAAAAAAATAATAAATAAAAACTTAAAAAATTAAAAAAAAACTTAAAAAAAGAACTGTACATATGGCACACTGGTTGGCATTGTGTCTGACCTCTGAGTACTCGGTGCTTGTCTGAAGATGAACACACACACGCGAAAATCAGGGGAGAGCCCTGCGTGTGTGTGTGTGTGTGTGTGTGTGTGTGTGTGTGTAGAATATGACAGTCATGAAAATCTCTCCTTTGCATCCTATAAAAGAAGTTGATGGGAGCCAACAAAAGGATGCATAGCAGTTTATAAAATTTGTGTCACAATCACCTTTCCCTTGACAGTTGAAATAAATTAAATCTGCTCCACATCTTATACCTGTCTCTCTGCTTTAATCCCTACATTGATTTTTGACCAAACAGCCTCAAGACTTGAAATAATCAAATCACATCAGAGCAGATGTAAGTGAGCTATTTTGCTTTCCATCCGATTTTTTTTTAAATTTTCAATCTTCACTTACATTTATTTTGAAATCAAATTAAACCAAAATATAGGGTCATCAGCTGGCATTTTCCATCAACTTTAACTTTTTACTAATGAGCCCTGTTGATATTCTTTTAACCTGCCAATTGAATGTCAAACAGCCATTTTGCAAGTGTTCAAAACACGTGGACACTAACAATATTGGCCATGACTTTCAGTCACCTTCATTTTCAACACCGTTGATCACTTATGTTATAGTTTTGTGCAAGAAACTTAGTCATGTTTGGATGAGTGAAAGACGTTTTTATTAATTAGTAAAAGTGAAATAACTGTATCTCCTAAAATGTATTACCTCTGTTTTTTTCTATGATTTAAGATGTTTATAATTATTTTTTTCAACATATGGCAGAGAAGACCTTATTTCCTACGTGTTTGAGAAATGTTCTTTATGATATTTTTCTGAATAGAACTTTTCCTTGCCTTAGTCTCTGAGAGAAGAGTGATGATTGTGTGTGTGTGTGTGTGTGTGTGTGTGTGTGTGTGTCTTCTTCAGGTTTAAAAAACATTTCTGTAATACAAGTTTTTTAAGGTAAGAAATATTTTGTATTTGTGCCTGAAGGAATGGAGTCAACATTTAAAATGAAGAAACTGTTAACGTTTCTCCCCCACATATTCCATCAACCCTCTTTTGCATCAAGTTCTCTTTTGTTAATGCTTATTTTGAGAGAGGGGGTGGGGGACGGGGCGATGGTGAGGCACCGAGAGAGAAAGTGGGGCAGAATCCCAAGCAGACTCAGCATTGCCAGCACAGAACCTGACACAGGGCTCGATCTCACGGATGGTGAGATCATGACCCGAGCAGAAATCAAGAGTCAGACGCTCAACGGACAGAGCCCCCCAGGTGCTCCTGCATCAGGTTCTAAGAACAAGCTCTGCCTCGCCCACAGCCCTCACTGTCATCAGAGAAGCAAAGAAGTTTCCATGTGGTCCAAGGTGATTATGAGAAAGTGCTGTCCTTTGGCAAATGTCCTCCTCGGCACACACAGCTGCTGTGGTGGCAGCGCTGGAGGCTGCTGTGTGTACAAACTCTGTTCTTCTTCTTTTCCAACACAGGAATAAACAGCAGTCTGCAGTATAAGCAGAGTCTATAAAGGGACAGCCAAATAAATCCCAAGCAACCTTGGCTCTAAAAGTCTCCACACAAGCCAAGGCACATGAACTGGCTGGAAGCACATGAAAGAAAGGGAGTGGGAAGGGAAGGGAAGGGAAGGGAAGGGAAGGGAAGGGAAGGGAAGG